AGTATCAGGTTGGAAGTTCACGTTCTGTAGAGTTAGGAGACAAAAGAAATCGTGTAACTTGCGGTACACCAGCAGACGTGTGAAGGCTTCGCGTATAAAAATGAAAAAAGCACGGCACCGAAGGTGGAATTAAATACAAATGCTGTAAAAAGGGAATGGTGAAGGAGCATGTCACGGAGCTTAATAACCTTCTCTTTTGTTATCCCGTATGTTCTTTACAATGAGGCGTTATGATGCAGGTAGTTTGGTCTCTTTAGCTCATTACATAATATGCGACAAATAAAAATCACGTTGAAGTATAATGCCAGTAGACCATGACATACTGTGCCCTGTTTATACAGAGTGTCCCATTTTAACTTCCCTACCCACGTATTTAAAAAAGAAAAAACAAAACAAAGTTTGTAGAGATTGAGGAGACAAAATGGTGGTGACCTTTTCAATGACCTTGACCACGACATTTAAGGTCATTTCAAGGTCAACTGGATATTTCAAAATGGAACTTACCTTTTTCTACATTAGAACTAAAAAGGGGAGTATATTTTACGTCCGAATAGGACCATCACCATGACCTTGCCTAATTCCAAGCCTAAATGCTATTTGAGTTCAAAGCCACATTAGGAAGTGAAATTTTCTGCTTTTTCCATTTCACGTATTACAATGAGATGTTCTGTTTGGAAACTTTGAGTTGGCCTTGAAAATCAAGGTTAAGGTCACATTTGGGTGATCACCATAACCAGCACAAGTGTGCTGTTGAACACTTTTGCTACGTCAACTCAATATTCCGTGAATATAGGTGCGGCACAAGGCTCAGTACTTGCACCACTGCTCTTCATTGTATACATAAATGACTTGAAATTGTCTGGCTTCATGATTAATTATGCGGATGACACATCTATCGTCGTCAGAGCCACGACACCGCAGGATCTTCTCGAATCTATTGAGAAAGTCAAAAGTGAAATGAGCAAGTGGTGCCAGTCTAACCGCCTCATTTTGATTGAAGATAAGACTGTTGAAATTCATTTCTTCAACAAGAAACCACGCATGTATATTGATAGCTTTTCAGATCAAACTGTCTTCTTAGGAACTCATGTTGATAGTAAGTTAAGCTGGCAACCACAAATAAATCACATTTGCAACAAAATTAACAGTGCTTATTTTGCAATATTGAAATTAAAGCCTAACACCCATTTAAACTCACTCTTAGATATGTACTACGCGCTAGTTTGTTCTCACCTCACTAACAATATAATCATATGGGGACAGGCAACAATGATTAACAGATTATTCATCCTGCAGAAAAGAGTACTTCGATTAATTTTTAATATTAATAAGAGGGCTCTTGTAAAGAAATATTTAGACGCTATTAACTGCTTACATTAGCTTCCATCTATATCTACAAATGTGCCATCTTCGCATTTGAACATAGCAATAGATTTGTTCGTAACAACGCCATTAATAGTCAATACAACACTAGAATAGGGCATGATCTGAGTATACCGACACATAACTCTGCCCTATTCCAAAAATCTCCCACTCTAGCGTGCACTAAGGTATACAATAATCTGCCGAGTGAGTTGCGGAGAAGCACTAATATCCTTGCGCTGAAAAAACATCTCAGGAAATATCTGGTTGAAAAATGCTATTACTCTCTACATGAGTTTTACTAACACATGAAAGCATCTGTTTTTTAAATTCTTTTAAGCTGTTAATCATTTCGTTATCAGTCAATTGTCTATTATCGTGGAGTAAATGTATTTTAATTTCACTTTTTATTCGAGTTTTAACGAAAGTATGTATGTTTTCTTTTTAAGCTTTTAACCATTTATCCTCACTGCTCGATGTTTATTATGTTTATATATTATGTATTTCTAACAGATTCTCCTACCGCTTTTCTTTTCTTTGTATCAGCTTCAATGATTTTTACCAGCTAGACGAACATTTTTTGTGATAAGAAAAGTCGCTGTATACAGGGTGACTTCGAAGTTGAGTCATTTATTTTAACAGTGAGTAGATCTGATCAAAAGAAATGTTTTTTTCCGTTACCATTTTTCTGGTAAAATTAAAGTAACAAAGTTATAGCCCTTTGGAAGTTTGAGTACCGCCCTTTCTCAATAATAATATCATGTGCTCGTGTTTGGCAACAACGGATATAATCCGCCTTATCGGTTCATCGCATCGGAAACAAAAAAGCGAAAGAATTTGGAACGATGTTTTTACAATTATTTTATTCAGTTCAGTTATACATACAGTTAGTGTCAGTCGGTAACGCGTGTGAATAGTGTCTGTTGCGTGGCTCAAATGAAATAAAAAATGGCACATGTTTATGAGGATCGGTTTCCCAATCGAGTGCAACCAACCCCTCGTGCCTTTGTTAATGTAGTACAACGGGCCCGTGAATCAGGTGACTTAAGACCTCACAGGGGACCTCACGATCAAATACAGGTCCGCACTGAAATACTTGTCGGGAGGATACTTTATAAAACAAGGTAAAATTTTTTTTTTATTTTTTTTTTATTTTTACACACATATTTTGGTTTATCTTCCTTCTACAATCATTATCTGAAAATTAATGACTCAACTTCAAAGTCACCCTGTATGTATATATTTTTACCGTTACAGATTGAACACATTACGATTCTTGCACTGTACCTGTACCTATAATGTGATTTAACCTTTTAAATTGTTTTGTAATTGTAATGTCCTTATTTATTTTATTATTATAAGTATTTTTCTGGCATATTTGCTCAAACGCATATATGACCCTCAAATTGATATTGACAAGTCTTATATCATGTAACATGATCCAATAGGACAATAAACTATCTATCTATCTATCTATCTAGAGCTAAGAGTTTTCGATATCTTGGTTTGACCATGAAATGACCTTGAAAGTCATGGTTTAGGTTATGGACCATGTGGTATTTGGACGTAAGATTTCCTCCTCCTTTGAATGCCGATGTGAGAAAGGAGAAGCTCCGATTGAATACATTCATTCGGCCTTAAATGACCTTGAAGGTCGATTTTAATGTCATTGTCAAGGTCACCATCATGTTATCCCTTAGAAGCCTTACAACTTTTAAACCTGAGCTATTTCAGTATAAGTGATTTGTGAATTTTTTGGTTTTAACACGCTTAAGCGTAAGGCCATATTTATAATTACTAGTGATATTTAAAAAGTTTGCTCATGTGCAACAGCGGCAGTCACCCAAAAAATCTAATAATACCCACAACCGCTGAACTCAGTGAGAGTTTGTCGCGCATATGTCCCACTCACCCCTGAAACTTCCTGGGAAGTTTGGTGAGCGTTGAAAGGAGAAAATGGATCAGCTAACTTGAGGAATTCGCTTTAAATACACATACACATACCTGGTAGTCGTAAGATACGAACACGCTGCTGCTGGTGCCTGGAAAATTTCCGTGCACGCTTTAATTTTCTCTCAGACAAAATGGGTGGAAAATAAGAAAAACCGTGCAGCGAGAGATCTTGTCTCACGATATACGGGCTTTAGCTGGTGTAGCTACACGGTAATCGGTAAAAACTTCCAGATTTTAAGTAATGTATTTTCTGGAGTACATATAGGATGATCTTGATGACGCATAAAATATTGTTAGGTTGGATGAGACTGGTCAGTCAGCACATACACTGAAGCCTCGTTCAGCTTCTAGATAGATCTGTCCTCATATTATGTTCTCGTATATGCACACGATCTTAAATCCACTTTTCATTGGCTTTTGTCAAAATCCACGGTTCTGGGTCAGTTTCCCATAGAACACGAATTAAGCTGCATTTCTAGCGGGCACCACGCTAAAGTGGCATATGAGCACAATGCTAAGATGCAGCTTAAAGGCTAACTATTGATTCATGATTCGTATTGAAACCATTGAAAACAGTATATTAGTATATCAGTTATACAACTGATTGAAACATTTTGGAGGAAATGAAAGCCTCGACGATGTAGCAGGTCCATAAACACATTTTATATCTGCCATTCTAACCCAATACACACATCTTGGATTCAAATCTACGGCTGAGGTGTTATGTAGAGCGTCTCCATCGTACTAATATAACCCTTGTTATATCTAATACTTCCAGTATCAATGAATTGGTCTCCGCATACTGTTAGGCTTCTTTATCGTTGTTTCATATAGGTAATATGAGTTCCATGACGAATGAACCTTTGTTTCAAACAAACCAGTATCAGGCATTGTCATCAATTTCTAGTGATCATTGTCATCTCATTCTTTACCCCTGATAACTAAATTTAATGGTGCGTGGCACCGCACTCGACCAAATCGGTATAGCAAGATGCAAGGGTTAAGTGTGATTGCTCCGGCAGGTGCAGCTCACAGAAGGTACTCAAAATGCTTAATATTTGATGGTCGGTGGCACAATAAGACAAACTATATTACCATGTGGTGCATTGAAGTTGGAAATTTGATGACAATGTGGTCATGACGATTAAGATGTTGTTTCTCAGACGTTGGTTGTGACGTGTTCGTTGTTAGATGTTAGTTTCCACAATTCAAAACGCTTTCATTCATTAATACAACTGTGGAGATTGAACCAGTCTGACAACCAATTGTAAGATACATCAAACTCAACCAACCGGAACAAGGACACAGCACAACCAACCACCGGCCGATTTATCAAACGGTATAAGTAGAAGATCACGTCAATCGAAACGTCGGGAATCGCAGATTAATATGCACGTCTGTAACCATTTTTCTCAGTTCAATGGTGTTAGGGCTGTGCCTGGATAGTTGCCGCTAAGCTACTGACACAGCGGTCCATTCTTAGTTCTTGATAACTCCAGAGTCTCTTGAACTGTCTCGGAAAAGCGAGTAGTCAGAGTGGGGATAGGTGTGCCGTACATAACCAATGGCCGATATGAACTCCAGGCTCCATATTTTTTCTTGCTGAATCTCAGTGGTTCTGCTCTATTGAAGCTTGAATTCTTAAGACTGCTATGACCACCTCTTTCAGGGCTCATCTGTCAGGGGTGTCGATACCTCGGTGGTTAGCGCGTCGAGCTAGCAACCCGTAGCGTGCGGGTTCGAATCTCCGACACGTACGTTTAATGTCTTGCCATTAATGTTGTGTTGTGTGTACGTCTCATAACCGGAGCTGGTTTATTATATCACTACGGATTCGGCAAAATGGGTCAAAGTTGGTCCAGTTTCCGGATTTGCCTCGCTACCAGTACTACTATTACTACTACACGACTAGGGCTCATCTGTCAGTCACCGTACGGGGCAAAACATAACACACCCTACATTGAGTTCGATCCTATGACAGGGATATCAGATGCTTTTATGGCTATCCGATCGACAATTGTTCCCATGTAAGCTGGAATATATGCATATGTTATCGATACTAGGATTTTAAGCCCTTTTATGTTATTGCTTATAACGGGTGATTTTTTAAGAGGTATAGGATTTGATTTTCAAAAAAACACAAAAAATTTGAAAAAACGATTAAATCTTTATTTAAGTCGATAGAACGGTCGATATAATTTAATGTTTAAAGATTATTTCACGTAAATGTTGGCCACGGCTCCGCTTTAGATGGCCCATGTGCAAGGTTCAATTTTGGCACACTCTTTCCAACATACCGGCCGGTATCTCACGAATAAATGCTTCAATATTGGCTTCCAGTGCGTCAATCGTTGTTGGTTTATCTCTGTAGACATTAGCCTTAACATGGCCCCACAAGAAATAGTCCAACGGCGTTAAATCACACGATCTAGGCGGACAATTGACGGGCCCCAAACGTGAGATAAACTGTTCACCGAACTCGCCTCTCAATAGGGCCATTGTTTTGTGTGCAGTGTGGCATGTGGCACCGTCTTGTTGAAACCACATGTCAGCCAAGTCCAGCTCTTCCATTTTGGGAAAAAATAAGTTTGTTATCATCGCACGGTAGCGCTCGCCATTCACAGTTACGTTCCGGCCATTGTCGTCTTTGAAGAAGTACGGCCCGATGATGCCACCGGCCCATAATCCACACCAAACAGTGATTTTTTCGGGATGCATTGGTAGCTCTTGCAATGCTTCTGGCTGGTCTTCGCTCCAGATGCGGCAATTTTGCTTGTTAACGTACCCATTCAACCAGAAATGAGCTTCGTCGCTGAACACAATCTTCCTCCAACTTTGCCAGCGCCCATTCACCAAATTGGAAACGTTGTGGGAGGTCGTGTGGCTTCAATTCTTGCACCAGCTGTATCTTATAAGGTTTTACACCCAAATCCTGTCGCAAAATTTTCCACGTAGTGGAGTAACAGAGGCCCAATTGATACGAACGGCGGCGAATCGACATTTCACGGTCATCACTAACACTGGCGGATACAGCCGCAATATTTTCTTCAGTCCTCACTCTACGTCTGCGTGTTGGTGGTTTAATGTCCAATAATGTAAACTGGGTTCGAAATTTAGTCACCAGCTTCCGAATAGCTCCCTCAGTAGGCCGACCAAATTGCTCATAAATTGGAAGCAGTGCTCGATGCACTCTCTTAACCTAGCATGAATTTTGATAGTAAAATTCAATAATTTGCAAGCGTTGTTCGTTCGTAAGTCGATTCATGGTTAAATTATAGACCAAACTGAACAAGTTTGACAATGACACAAGACACGATTCACGCGTCATCTGTCAAAAACAGTGTTGCCAAAAAGATACTAGCAAAAAAGTCACCTATTATCATACGTTGATTGATATGAATTTTACTCGAAACTCGTAAATAATACACATGCTTAATCTGAAAACGTTGACTTGCAAAAATACATGCAGCGCTCGAAATTTCATTTCGGTCTATACACATGCATATCCCGTTTATCAGATGTAGCTGTCATTTCAGTTTGATAGATGGTATATTTTGCCTTGGGATTAGTTATTGTTAGGCGGGTGCATATTTTATAGATGCGTTAAAGACATTTTCGGTGTGTTGAACATAAACCGACAATTTTGCTTCGGTATTTGACAAACCGCTTACCTCTACTTGTCTGTTCAGTGATCTCTGGGAATGTCAAACAGTTAGCTGATGGTGCTGACACACATGAGCCTCTTGTCCGGATTCTTATAAATTTCAGTGTCCAGAATAAGATGATCTTCTTTGCCTCTGCTATTAATCTAAAAATGTCCAAGACTATCTCGATCAGGTTTTATAGCAAAAGTTCGGCGAGAAAAGCCTGGCCGGTGAGGCTCATGTCGTTGCTCTTGTTATCACTATGGTGTTCAATCTTCACATCTATATCAACGACCTCCTTTCCTGTACGGCCAATCCAATCCACACACAATTTAGAGTGACAAGTCGATCTTTGCTGATGAGCTGGAGAAAAGAAGACTAGCAGTAGTTTCCTCTAAAAAAAGAGACCTGGAGGTTATCACTGCTTAGGGACGCAGCAAGCTTGTACAGGTTAATGCTTCCAAAACACAGTACCGTACCTTGACAAACATAAAGCCTCCTAGCGCCCAGCCGGTTTCAATGGATGACCGAGTTCTACCGACCATTTCGGCTGTTCCAGATCATCGTGGACTTAATATGACATGAGCACATCTTGTTAATAGCTCGATGCTGTTCAGGGGAGGGCTGTCAGACTGATCAGTGACTCTTCTCTAACGGACAGTCTCAGGACCCTTTCGCAACGGCGGGACCTCGGCGATCTAGCTCTCTTCTACCGCTACACCGACGGGTTTAGCTCCTCAGAGCTCTCCTCCATGACCCGCATGACTTTATCCTTCCATCGTAACCATGGCAAACTTGCTTGTGTAGGTTGGAATAGCTCAAATTATGACTAGTTCGAGCAAAGGAGAATGTGTCGAGGGTGTAGCTCTATGAGCCCTAGCAGGAGATCCTGCTAAATATGCACCCGACTCGGCGCGCAAGCTTTTTAATCATGGCGTAGACAATACCAGACGCCCCACCGACTTCAAATCCGGCAGATACACATTAATTGATCGCGAAAGAAGTAGAAGCTGAAGGAGAAATAGAAGAAGAAGCGGCAGCTCGGTTGTGCCAGTGGAGGGGGTGGATAGTCCGGTCGAGGTTGTTATTAATTAGTGATTAAACCACATCTTTTTAATGTAAAACTTTCTCATTCACATCAGCGTCTTCAGATTTTTCGGCCGTATGTGGGCGAAGACGGGTCCGACTCTTCGCTCGGACCGTGGATCGGAATCTATTCCGTAATAAAAAGATCCAAGGTAATTTAGGCCGACTAGAACTTATTCAAAAAGATCCAGTGCAATCTACAAAAATGCGCAAGTATAGGTGGCACGTTTTGCGTAGCTAATTCTACTAGTTCTTCTGTAGATTTTATTATTTCGTAAAGTGGGGCTACAAAGCGGTTCCAAGATTTCAAAGGCACTCAAGGAGATGAAAGGAAATCTCAGGCAAGGAAATATTTTGTGACAAGTGGCCAACCTCTCGCCTCAAAGTGATTTAGAACAATGACAGTTTTCCGGACACTTCACTAGAGGCAAAAGGCCAACTTTCCTCTAGGAAGTGATTCTCGCTTGATAGGAAAAATACAGAGAGAGATAGGAAGAAAGAGAGAGAGAGAGAGCACCTGTTATTGTGATGATGCAGAAAACCACTGCCACCAGGCAACTCAGAATGACAGAGTGAGCGTCTGAGCAACACGGCAAGGTCGTCACCACAGACGCTGCCGTACTATGCAAAAGTTGCATAAATTAAGCACAGGGCAAATAGAATCAGTTTGTTTATTGCCTCTGCGACCATAACTAACCATATCCAACGTTGTTTTATGCTTTTTAGCAATTGTGAGTATGGTATAGTTGTAGTCCTTTGGAGGCAGAAGACGGAAAGTAAACATGCACATCAGGATCTGCTGAAAAACGTACTGCAGTTAGTGAAAAATAAATATGGGTTTGTCATATACGTAGAAGTCTTAGTACCGCGGCTTGGGAGCTACTCATAGCACTAATACTACAATAATGAGTTTTTTCGCATCAAACATATATTCGCCTTCAAGTGACTAGACCTATACCGATTACTAAGAATGGCATCAAGTAAGTTGATTTTTTACTTTCTACGCAACGCTGTCATCATTTCGTAAAGGATTGTTTGGTACAAGTTAGCCCTTCTGAAAAAAAGTTAGTCACGAACATACAAAAAATTGCGACAAACTCCTGCAGGCGCACATGATCTTTGAGATGTCCAATGCCGCGTGAATGACGATATTGGCCTTTTCCCAGCACAGTGGACCCAGTCCTCAGCAGTACGGAAGCGATTGCGACCACGTTGCACAAATCTTGGAGATATTTAGACATTTAGGTATTTTTAAGGGTTGAGTGAAATATGTCTAATAGGTGCATAGAATTTCTGGGGTTGGAGGCGTATAAATATACCAACGTCATAAAATTGAGATATACCCTCTCACACCCAACTTTGAAGCCCTAAAATTTTTGTTGAAAATGATCTGGAACCTGTAAGTTTAAGTGATTTTTATTTTCTTCGTTTTTTGCCCCTCGCTCCGCCGCCACTGAACCGATTTGCATAAACATTAAAGCTCCTTGGCGTAATAGTAACATTGAGTTGAAATTTCAACAAAATCCGAACGGTATTTTCCAAGTTATAGAGAGGTCAAGGACCAGCGGCCAGACAGGCAGCCACACAGACAGACCGACTGACGGAAATGAGTGACGTGATTTTTCGTCTTATAGCATCCAAAAAACATCTCAACATCGAAATTTTTCGCGATTACAATATTTTCTCGCCAGTAGGCGTAGGAAGTAATAAGCGTGAAACAAGGTTACATATGTGTCGTGGCCATGGCGTAGAATCGACCATTTTATGGAAATGATCGAGCATTTCGTGAAATGGCCAACTAAATTTAACCATATCGTTGAATCGTCAACGATTTGGATACGATTGATCATATCGTAAAATAGGGTGTCCATAGAATGTAAATCCAGAATATGTTACAAACTCGCTTATTACTATTTAAGTATATCAAACATTATTATTAAAACCATTAACTTTAGGAAATATAATAATTATATAAATACCATCTCAAATTGCACAACGTGTCACAAATAAAATTATTGAACAAAT